TTTGTTTTTTGTTTCTTTGTTATTAGTTTCTGCGCTGCCGATTCAATGGAGATATTAGAGAAGCATGCTGCTTTCAGGGTTTTGTGTTCACTTACCGTCGAGCATTATGCTTGGGTACGAACAGGACAATACGGTTGTACAATGACCATTTTTTGGGGCGCGCTACCTTAGTAATGCTCACTTGCTCCTTGCGTTACGGTAAAGTAGAATGGGATAAATTTGATAACGCTAGAAATGAGAATATTAAAACGAAGTGTCGGATATGTGTTTTTTGTTTTCATTTATTTCTTGTCGAAATGATGCTGCCACCTCCAAAGGCGCTATGGGAGCGGCTGTGGCTCAAACTTACTTACGCAGTCAGGCTTGCTTTCACACCACACCATGACCTTGGTGTCGCACGGGCCTTTTCGCTCACGATCAAGGCCGGTAGGAATCGAGTTTGGTTCAGAGGTTAGGTACTCAGCGATGGAAAGTAACCATGCAACATGTGAGGAGAATAATGACATGGAGCGGCAGTGCTTGAACACTGACAAACAGCACCTCAGACTATGTACTGAACAAACCTATGATCAAGCGCGCCCGTATCAGCCTGTCGACCCTGTCGGGTCCGCGTGCTGTAGTCCCTACCCGCGCGAGCAAAAAAAAAGAGAAAAAGCAACAATGATCGCTTTATTAAAAAGCTTACTGGAGAGTAGAATATGAAATATTATTGGGTTAATAAAATCTTTATAAAACGTCTAATTACATGGTAATGTATTTTAGGGAGTTTTCAACAAATGAGGGAGATTTATTGTTTACTGAAGTGTATTTCTTCAAATATACAATCCAGGTTACAAGAAGTTCTTGAGGGAGCAGTAACCTTGCTCTTTTTTAATAATATATTGCTAAGCACTACTACTAGTCATAATGAAGTACACCTACATGTATATGCAGATGATAGAGTATTTTCTTGCTTCAGACAGTGATGTACAATCGATATATAATCGCTTACAAACGTGTAAGTAATCAATTTTTAACCGGTCGCAGGCTATTCATTTAGGTTCTAATAATTCAAAAAGCGCGATTACAATTTCACCTTTAGATAACCTAGTCACTATTATCCAGAATAACTTTCAACCTGCGAAAGAAGTCACAGTTGAACTCGGTAAACATTAGGGAACATCTTATAATAACCATCTCCTTCGGCATGCGACCAAGAAAGAAGTATGAGTATGAGAGTCTTACGAAGGCTGTGCAGCATTCAATCAGGGATACTGAGAGAATCACTACTTATGTTTTACGAAATATACATACAAGCAGCATTTCAGGACACCAGCGGTTTAGCCCCGTAATGCCATTCGGATGTGTTTTATATTATGGTGCACCGGCTTATAAATTGTCGAAAGGGAGGCCCACATTTATTCTTTGGATTACCGAAATTCACATTTAATAAAGTCCTCTACTTAGAAGTGAGTTTGTCCTCTCTTTTGTGCAGATTTATAATACTAACTGTGTATTCATTCCTTAAAATTTATAGAAATTTTATGAAAATAAAAATTATTTTCATGTATACATCAGTATGAGTTGTTTTTTATCTACTTTATTGACTTCGTTCATACAGCATAGTTGGGCTTCGTAGAAGCACTTTTTGGACCATTATGTGTTAAATTGTGTGAAGTTCTTTGCATCGGCAATGAAAGACATAAATTTAAAAACGTTTTTCACAATATATATCCAAACCATGCAAAAAATTTGCATTACTATACAATAAACTAGCTTCTTCAAAGGCATTAATAGAGGACAAATGTAAAAAAATCACGCTCTGAAAAAAATCTCGCGTTGGTACTTTTTCGAGACGTTCAATTGTTCATTATCAATAGGACTTTCCGCTTTCTTATCAGTTTCTTCAGCGGAATGACATTACGAAAACTCAGCCCATCAATCTCAAGTGTGGCCATAGTTGCAGATACTTTAGGTGTGTTCGGTACTCACCAAAAATAGCTTTTTACAATTATCAGGTGGCTTTGGAACGTTATGATTATTGGTAATATTATTAGGCTCAATATATTCCAAACTTGTAATTTTCTGTTCCCTAACCACATAACTCTAATCAGGGTAATCTGAGTACTGGGCCACAAAGGGACAAAAATTAACAAAAATGACGAAATAGCAGACGCTCCGGTAAAAGGCATTCTCAGTGATCCGTCATTGTCAATTTTTTTGACAACAGCCCTCATGATTCGTGACAGAGTGAGAAAGCGAGTAATAACTTGAACCTGTGAAGTCATTTATCACTCACCTATACGAGTATTGACACCTCCGGTTCCCCTGGCGTAGCAATTTCTCTTAAACGCGAAATGTAGTATAGTTACTTTTATAAAATTACGCTCTCGCTTTCCGACAATGTACTATAATATATACGCGCAGAGCTAGTCTAGCTGCTTCCTCTCTTTGCTAGTGCTGTAACAAGGACGAAACAGCTGAAAATAATTTCTTATCATGCATCCACTTCAATTTACTGACGGGAAATATTTCCGAAACGGCGTTTATTCGAATCGAACTGGACATCGTCATTTAAGATATGCTATTTTTGAGAACCCCTCATCGTCATTTCGCTGAAGAACGGAGGTCTACGGTGAAACTTTTTTAATGATTGAAGGTTGTGTTGACCTGAACTATCTAAGGTAGCATCTTTGAGTTAGTTTAAGTGTTAGATAAATCTTCAGTCATACAATTTTTATGCGAACACACTTTATATAAATAATTCTTTTCTTGGCCAGTACCGAAGAATGGGCGTGAGCCATACATATGGGTAATCTTTATCATCATTATCATCAAAAGATGAAGTGGCTTCAGGTGAAAAAAAAACAGAAGCGATAACAAGAAATGAACAATAGTAGAAACAAAATTGGCTCTGTCCCGTATACTTCAGTGTACCGCCAGAAGAGGAGACCAGAAAACGAGCAAGGACCGCTCGGCGCATTCTGCACCAGAATGTTTGGCCACTTTCGCGATTGTTATAAATTGTTCGGGATAAGATTACACAGAGGACACGAGTAGTAAATCTTGTTCTCGAACTTACGTGAGCAACAGAGATTACACTGGAAAGTTTGATCACTCATGTATACCATATTTAGAAAACCCCCAATGCATTTTGGTACCGGTTCAATTAGGACGCGCATGCGCTCTGTATATATTCTGAATTAGCCGATACAGAGACATGTTCCCACCACCGCGCATACCTTAGAATTATTTTGGGCTGACGGTATTGCAGGTGGGATTCACTTGACAATATAAGCATGAATAGCATAAGTAACTTGTATTTCACAAGTTGAAAGTGGCTTCTAGGAGCCTAAACAAAAACGCTGGTAAATTGTCTAGTGACCTTGCATATTATAGCAACGATTCCTAGAATTTGACAATAGTATACAGTCCATGTGAAGTTTCATGCTGCCACAGAATATCTCTGTGTGGGCAATCATTCTGTCACAAAAGTGTTAGTTTTTGTTTTCGTTTTTTGTCTGATTTCGTTCGCACAGTGCAATCCTTTCCTGTGTACGCTTTGCACAGCGCCAAGGAATCTGATAAGTGCTATGTCTCGCAGTATCTCATTGGACAGAGGTGCGGTTTCTTATCTAACGGGATAAAGTTGTTTGTGTCATGGCAATTCGCATTGCAGTGTTTTGTCCACCACGCACTGCTTCCTATAGCATCCATCTTGCAACCTCAACAGGGTGTTTTAGCTAAAATTTCCAAGTAAAAAAAAAAGACTATACATGATCACCACACGTCTCTAATTAGTGCAGTATGCTTCTGCGCCGTATAGAGCATGTCAGAATATTTGTTTTCAGCCAGCTTAGAGCTATCCAGAGGGCCCACGACATAGCCGTGGAGTTTAACCTCCCCGTCCCGTCGTGGGAGTGGCCCACCGGAGTCGCCCCCTAAGGGATATTGAGCACCGCCTCCGGATATTAATAAAGTATTTTACCTACCTACCTACCTGACAAGCTTTGCAATTCACCAAAATCGCCTAATGAACATTGTAATAGTGACTCTAGAATTAAATCTTTAATCTGAAATTTGTAGTGCTTAAACAGAAATAATAAAATTTTCGTTGTGCGGTAACACAACTCCACTGCTTAATTTTCGCCAGCCTCACTTTAAAGATCGTGAAATTGAAACAATATCACATTACTGCCGCCTAACGCGCTGCGTTTTTAGTGTCCACAAATGTAGGTTCAAGGAATTATCGAATACTGTTCACGAAGGAAGGTCGCTACAACAGGCTATGGGTGACTAAGATGGACGTTAGGAGATGGCAGAATGGTAACGATATGAAAAAAAATATAAAAAACATCGACGAAAAAGCAAACGCCACGTGCGATTGTGATAAGAGACCACTTGCAGAATAAGACGCAGCGCCAGCAGTTGTTTTGTTTTTCTTCTTTCCAGCGATTAGTCAGCAGCCAAACGTTTGTTGCAAACTTGAGGCAAACCGGCAATGCGCGCTCGATGTTTTCTTTAGCTGATGAACCATTAATAGGCTTGGCTCACGAATACTGTGCGGAGGGAAGTCTGCTGAGCAAGGAACACTTGGCTCATTCAATCTATAGAGAGAACTTTATTGCCAAAACCGCTTGTTGCATTGAATTTTCTTTTTTGTTGTTCGCATTCACTCTGCTGTATAGTGATGACAAGCGTACTTGTTGCGAGTAAGTCAGAAGTAAAGACGGGATGCATGTGGTCATGCCTAAGCTTATAGCGCTTTCCATTGGGCGAACAGGAGCACTTCTAATTGCACTCAAAGTGCTCTCGCGAGTTCTGGCGCCTTCCAGGGGTCGGGCAGGAGCAGGGACGTTGTGTTTCATTGGTCGAGGAGGAGCACTTTTTCGGCGCCGTGGGCAGCCGAGAGCAGTTCTCGGTGCACCGTCGCCAGCGGCGGAGTAACAGGGAATGCCGAGGAAGTCACATGACCTCTTTTACGTCACTTCTGGTTTTATTTCCGGGGTGGCGGAGAAAAAATGGCGGAATCCAGCAGCCGCGATAGTCGTTCGATGCGTTCGGAAGCAGCTAAGCGCCGCCGTCTTGACGAGGAATTGCTGCTACTTTTAGATGCTGAAAGCTCCACAGGTTCAAGCACAAGCTCATCCTTGGAGAGCAGCAGCAGCAGCAGCGATGACGACGACGATTTGACGTTGTATGAGTTTATGTTGGAGTACCTGTTCTCTCCGCCGGAGCAGCGACCGAAGGTTGAGTCGTACCTGGAAAATACGGTTGCCGCGTATTCTGACGAAGAGGTGAGCCGCTGCATTGTACTTAAAACGCGTAATCAATAACCGGCCTGCTTTTTTTTCTCTTTACCTCGCCAGTTTCGCAGAAACTTCCGACTGTCACGGTCAGTTGCAAAGGCGCTTGCTGCCGAATTCGCGAAGTCGCCGCACTACCCTTCAAGAAGAGACCACGGAGGCCTACCCCCCAAGTCCCCTGAAGAGCATGTCCTTTCATTTCTATGGTAAAGTATTACAATTATATAGCAGTAAAGAGAGAAGCTTAGTTGTGAGATGAGTGCCCTACTCGTGAAGCTCTGCAACAAACTCAGGCGTGTGAATTTGTCGTACGTGCTCGCCGACGTGCCCCGGCAGCGTACGCATCGCACCGACCGGGTGCTGGCGGAGTTGTGCTGGAAGAAAAGCAAGAGATCAGGACGCAGGAGGTGTAGTTAAACAGATGAGAATTTAGAAAGTGGAGGGGTCAGAAGCTAATATGCAAACACAGGAAACGGTGAGAGAGTTCGGGCCTGCATTTGTTGCCGAGCTTCACGAGTACGGCGTGCATATCACGACGCCTTAGAGTTCACGTGAACTTCACATATGTACGTAGAAATTGAAGAAGAAATGCGCGCATATGACCTCGCAAGAATTAACATGGTCTCGGGTGAGTGTGTGTGTGTGTGGGGGGGGGGGGGAGAGGCGGTAATTTCACGTCTACGAGGCGCCTGCCGAAATTTTAAGGGCATGAAATTCATGGCACATGTTCCCGGAAGTGAAGGCTGAACTTGAATGCGCTAATACGCCACGTGAAGGTTTACCAACTGATTTTTCACTAAATGCTTATGCTGCCTGGAATTTGCTTTTACGTGCCACTGACGTTCCGTCAGTCCCAGGCTCAAGTAATCGCTTTTTTGCTGCACGCTCATTTCAGTTCCCGAATCGCACTGGATTCTATTTTTTCATTTTTTTTCATTCAATTCTTGCATGTGCTGTTGTAAGGCATTTTAGGAGTAAAATACTGCACATCTGCACCAAATGTGCTCTGAAGCTTGTTCAGACAACTGGGCAGATGTGGATTTTTCCGACACTTTGCTCAATGCTTGTTGGCAACGTAAAATGCTTGTTTACCACTTAGCATTATTAAAGAGTTATCACATTTCTTGCAGGTATGCCGCCAACGAATCCTGCATACGGGATGTTGCAGGACGTTCTGAAGTTGGGGAAAGCACGCACCACAGGATGATGTATCGAGTCATGGATTTCCTTCCCGACATTGCCCCCCGCATCGTGACCTTCCCAGATGACATGGAGAAACTTTCCAACGACTTTAAGCAGGTAAGAAAAACCCCACTTTCAATTTCAACTGCAAAAATGTTTTTGATTTAATCAAAGCAGCATGTCAGTCGCTTCCATCGGAATGATTCTTCAAAGCTGTGTTTTTATTCATAAAGGCGATGTAACTTCTGGTAAACATAATATATACAGGACACCCTTGAATTTGGTGTATAACAGTACGGTTGGAACAAGCAGTGAGTTATCATTTATGATGTAAGCTGCATGGGGATGTTGAAGAGCTCGCAAAGCCATTGTTTTCAGTTACATTGCAAGTTCTTCACACCTGCACGTAGTAGAGTTTGCGAAAACATGTCAAGCTGAAGCTCTCGGCTACTGTGCGTAATGACCCTTTGCTAGAACTGTCAATGCATTTCACGCTTTAATGCGCACGTAACCATGCCAATGAATTTACGTTAGTACTGCACAAAACGAACAGATACAAGTACAAAACCAACATCCGAGGATATCATGTGAAAATGAGCTGTGCTTAAAGCTTTAATTAGGGCACGACTTCACTTGCTACTTTGTTAGCTCCTTTTGCTCTTTCTGTGAAACGTTCTAACATTTGTTTTCAAACTTTTAGGTTTCAGGGTTTCCGGACACTATTGGCTGCATTGACGGAAGCTGTATTCCGGTCAGGTGCCCTGCTGGTAAAGTGCGGTCAGTGTATGTGAATCGGCACCACTACCCATCCTTGACGCTGCAGGGAATATGCGACAACCAGAAGAGGTTCCTAGATGTCAGCACAGGTGCACCCAGCAAAATTCACGACGCCAGGATCTTCCGGCTTTCAACCGTTTCGAAGAAACTGCCTCAACTCTGCGCTGGGAAATACCACATTCGTGGGGACGCAGCGTACCCATCTCGCGAGTACCTAATGTCTCCCATTCGCGACTACGGAAGCCTCGATGCCTCTGACAAGGCATTTATTGCCAAACTTTCATCTACCCGAGTGCTAATTGAAAATGCGTTTGGGGAGTTAAAGGGTAGGTTTCGGCAGCTGCAGCGTGTGAACCTCACGACAGTAGATAACATGGCAAAATTTATCCTCGCATGTTGTGTCCTCCACAACATCTGCATCGACAACGGTGACTCGCCTGATGGTCTAGTTCCAGGCATGCATCTGAACTCTCAGGGTGCTAATGATCCGAACCCTAGTGGAGCCAGAGTCCACAGCGGAACATCCAGAGAAGAGAGCCTCTAACGGGCGCTTGCAGAGGTTAAGCGAGAAAGACCGAAATCTAACATGGGGCTAAAGAGGAGGCAGCCACAAAATCTGTCTTAATGGAAGCATATCGTGCTCAAACATTAAATGCAACGCTTAAGCAGCATCTCAGTTTGCCATTGTTCAGGGATATTATGGTTGAGTATGAAATAAACAGTCATGAAAACATGTTTTTTCAAAGTGCACCTCTTTATTGCTTGAACCCCAGGGCCTCGCGGATGAGCTGAAGTTTGTCTTCTTGCGGCGCTCCTGGCGTTCTTGAATGCGCTGAGCTCGCAACGCCTCATGTCCTTTTCTTTTTCTAGCTCTTCCCTGCGAGCCGCTCGCTCTGCACTAATAGCTCGCATTTGGTCAAAAAAAATATTGCATCTGCTGCATACGACTGGTACTAGCGCGAAGTTTCCTTTTCTTGGTGTCTGCTGGCCCTTTTGTGCTTTTCCCACTGTCTGAACCACTCGCCGGAGTACTGGAGATTTCAGGTGAAGTTGAGGGTACATCAGCTGAGCTGTCAGAACTTGATGAAGTTGCCTTGTACGTCGCTCCATAAGAGTCCCTTTGGACTTCGGGCTCGAGGCTGTCGTCAATGCTTTCAATTTTTCGCATTTCATCGTCGAATGGGACAGGGCAAGGTTGAGCACCGGACTTGTTATTATCGCACGCTTTTCTCTTTTGCCTTATTACCGTTTTTACGCGATTTTCACATTGCTGTGGCGTTTTGCTGCCTCCAAGCACATCAGCCAGATCCTGGGAAACCTGTTTAAAAAGCATCTTCTTGTTTTTATACTTTTTGAAAGGGCCAACTTCAGGGAAGTATTTATAGTGATAGTCTAATAGGAGTTTAGTTTCCCCTGGTGTCCACTCAGGAGCTGAAATTGAAATAAGGCAAGCTTGCTTAAAGCACATGTGTGGGGCACTGCAGCGGTGGAAGCTCACCTCCGCCACTTCTTTTCCCTTGTGGCGCTGGGCCCGTTCCCATCTCGCCGGCGGTTGATGAACTGGTGGTTTCTGCATGTGCAAAATAAGTGCGAGTGTAAAAACTCTGCTGAGGTGCCTATTCTGTGCGACGTGAAATGATAATGGTGTTCTTTTCGCAAAGTAAACGCCTCCGGATGCCATGAATGTACCATACTGAAATTCGAAACAGCGCGAAAAGACGGCACAAGGGACACAACGACACAAGGCGCTGGTTTCGTCGCTTCCCCTGTCCCGTCTTTTCGCGCTGTTTCGAATTTCAGTATGCACCACCAACTAGCCCAAACCACCGTTCTAACGCAGAATGTAGCATGTCATCAGCCCTTGCTGAACGCAAACATAAAGAGGTTTGTTTTGTAGTAGTAGTAGTAGTATTTTTATTTACAGTAAGCCGGATACAGAGCTCACTGCAGGGGCAAAGGGCTAAAGGCGAACAGCCTGACAAAGGCCCTTGTCCCTTCGCAGTCCGTGACAGTGCAAAGCTTAGACAAAAATACTCAAACATGCATGCAAATAATTTCAAAACGTCAACCAGTAGAAGTGACGATAAACGGCAGAAGAAAGTTCGACAGTACAGCACAAAAGTGCGGCCCCGTGACGCATACATACGCAAATTACGGGCTCCGTCTTCGTCCGTCGTTTCCTCACACACTGCGACGCTCCCGCTACCTGAAATGGGCCATTCATCACAAAAAATTAAAAAAAAAACTGGCAAAAAGTATTGCAAAATATGGCCTGTGCTTGTTAGATATTGGCGCTTACCGTGGCAATTCTCGTCAATGCTCTCCCGTGCGGCCAAGGCATCGATAACGACTGTAGTGAGCACAAACAAAGCCGTTAGATTGACGCTGTTATCGCTCGTAGCTAATTTTTGCGAAACACAATGCTTACCTGGTGTAGCACGTAGAGCTGACCCCTTTAGCATTGCCATGAACATCCGCTCGGCTTCATCATTCATCGCCATGAGGAAGGCAGACACAAAGCCACTGGCACGTATCTGGCGAAACTGGCGCGGAATAACTTCGTGCGGACAACGAGAGCGCGCGAAATGCTCCGAAAAGCAAGCGCGGGAAAAGTTTGGTCACATGACCCGTGACATCACGTCCTCTCTCTTTTTTCTCTGCTCCCGGAGCAGCGAATGTTTCATTCGCAGAACGAAAGCGCACGTCCCCGTTACTCCCGTGTGCTGCTCTGGCTGCTCGCTGCACTTGCTCCTGTTCGCCCAATGGAATTCGCTCTTAGCCTCTTATGTAGAGAATACTTTTTGAACGGCGTAAAGTGGCAATGCGGCAACGAAACTAGTGTGTCATAGGTTAATACTGGCGATGAAATTGTGCTGATCAAGAGATTGCCGCATTGGGTCAGTTCTTATGGAGCTCGGCTTCTGACCTATAGGTCACGGGTTTGATCTCGGCGGGAGTGGTCGCATTTTGAAGAAGGCGAAATGGTAGTGGGTTGTCAGCTGTGCAATGTCAGTGCGCGTTAAAGAACATCAGCTCGTCAAAACTTCAGTAGCCCTCCACTGCGGCGTCTTTCATAATCTTCTCGTGATTTCGGAACGTAAAACCTCAGATAATATTATGCTGATCAGGAAAGCACAGGGGTCTAAAGAAAAAACGTGTTCAACGAGTGTTGTTTTGCCTCAAAAAAATAGTCCTGAAATCTTGCGTGCCTCTCGATTGTGTTATCGACGCGCTTCCACAACTTACCTTCAAGAATGGCAAGCATGTTATCAGTCCGAGACACTTTTTTTTGTTTTAGTGATAGGAAAGTGGCGTGCGCTCAGAATTTAAGGAACGAAACGGAAGCCAGTAGCAAAGAAGCCGATGGAAGATACTTCTGTCGTTACTATGGCAACTACGTCCAGCCACACTTTGTCGCGTTTCCGCGTCTACTTGCCTGCCGTTTCGCCGTCTGTTCCGCGCACATAGGACCGCGCCGCCGTCGCGGCTGACCTCCGCCAGTCATCGAGGCAAAGTGGGTGGGTATTTGTACATGTGTTATTTATGCTCTTGCGTTTATTTGTATCTGCGCGTGTCTACACATACGAAATTCTAAAATTTTAAAAGAAGTTCGAGCACCCCTCTTCCGCCTACGCCTATCTTAGCTAGTGAGGAGTACATCACAACAGCGCGCCACCTCTGACGCCTCAAAGCGGCAAATGTACGTGTATGTACATCGTTACTGCCCCCATTTTCAAACAGTAGAAGTCGCCATAGGTTGTTCGTTTTTTGCCTATAATGTTATCATGTCTTTTCTATCCTACGTTTGCATATGCAATTGCCTTTTTTGGTACCCTTGCTGAGTGCAGGAAAGGTGGAAGTGACGTGAGCCTATTCGCTGAGGCAGCCGGTATTGCAGTGAACCTAAACACCTCCACTACACATTCATTATTCTAACGAATTATCTGTAACTAGGCTCTACTTTTTAGAAATGCTGCTTTTATACCTGTAGGTATTCTTTTCACTTCTGTCATGGGCGTGGATACAGGAAAATAAAAGTATTAGTGTAAGTTCCTCCAGACTGATCACAAGGGCGAGGAATTTTCGGCAATGATTCAGTGGCGCCCACTTTCTATCCTGCTTCTGCCACAGTCTGATTGGATATGTTGACACTGTCATGACACCGTATCCAATCACACAACAGATAAGCGCGGCAAAAAAACATTTGTGAATATAAAATGTGACTTTTTTAACGGTGCGCATTGGGGCTGGAATACCGATGATAACAACAGCGTTCGTCCTTGATGTGTGCTATGTTGCAATTATTGCTCTGTGCCTTGGGATAAATAAAAAAATTAATATACTCGCGCCTGTAAAATGTTTCACCATTCTGTTTTATCCATCAACTCCCATTTTAGCGCAACGGCGTTAAAGAGCTCATTTTGCGGAAATTCTGGCATTGATCTCGGCTTCGGCGTCGTTGGTTGTGAGCGAAAAATCATCATATGCGTCACTGAAGTTTCGATAACGATGCAAATAGAATAACGAAAATTCCTGAATTAGAGTGGGGATGAAACCCGGGTCGTTGGGGTCCGAGTGGAAATTAAACGTGCGTCATTTCAGTGTCAAGGGGATGTTCCACCACACGGCAAATTGTCTGCTTGTGAATACATCGAAAATTACTTCCTCTGGTTGGATCTGCAGTGAAAGTGACACATGCTTTACAAACACATGCGGCCTGTATGCATGCTTCACAATACAACATGAAACATTGCAGTAATATTGCATGGCACAAACACCCCGGGAAATGAGGCATCAGAACATGTGATTATCATAACGACTTTGTTGTTTAAAGCCAGTAATCCACTACAAAACGCACACACGCTACTGCGCCTGTTTTCTTAAGGCTATGTAAAGGGGGCATAGCTAGTACGAAAAGGTTTCAGGCATTAAGTGTTTGAAGTAGGCACTTTAAGTACAGAAGATCGCTATCGCGTTGAACACCTAAAGGTGGAGTTGTAGGATCCCTTATGTTTTAAGGACCACTGTAATCTCGTTCCGCTTTTATCAAATGAACATGATCTAAGCCGTCATTGACACGTTAGCCGCAAGGGCATAGACACTTTTTTTGGGGGGGAGGGGTAGCGGGCACATTTTTGATATGAGCCTTTTTTGTCGAGTATGACGTAGCGAAGAAAACGTTCAGGTTGGAAGCGGAGGGGAGAGGAGGGAGGCCACGGGCCTGGTGCGCTGCTGCGACATGGCTACGCCGTCAGTCGACCCATTCGGCTGATATAAACGTCACCTTAGTTTTGCTATGATTACACGGAGTTTGGCTGATGGATCTCTTGGACTCTTTTGAATGAAGTGTCCCGTGGCACGCACGATGCCAAGTACTGAATAACGATATCAGAATATAAAAAAACAAAGAAAGTGCACAATGGAAGCTTGCGATGAACAATCCATAAACAGTGCTTGTGGCGAGACTTGTCTTCCTCAAAGTTGGAACAGAACTGTTTTTTAGCACAAGCATGTCTACACTTCGTACCTTCTCCTCAATACATATATATGAAGATGATGCGAAAGATATTGCGTCGACAACCCCTTTTAGGAAAAACTGCTCCTTCATCAAAATCAACGAGTCACCGGAGGTTCGCGGATGACAGGCAGAGACAGTTTTTTCACAACCATATGTGGTGAGAAGCTTCCTAGGCGTAGGATCACCATGATATACTAAGAAGTGGTTCAGCACAGCAAAATATCCATCGGTTTATTATTACACCCCCTTCTTCAGAGGCCTGGAACCACTACTCGAAAGGAGTGTGCTTCCATCAGTGACAACAACCACGTGAAATATTATTTCATTCCTTGCAAGTATATATTTGCGTATATTACCAGAAGCTTTAGGATTGTTATAAGCACCAAGTAATATATTCATGTATTTCAACTCATTTTGCTTGTATTTGTGCGCAGCTCCCTGACAATCAAATTATACTCAAAATATACTTTACGTGTTATGATGTTCTTGTATTTGCATACCACTGAATGCAATTTCGGAGCAATGTGAGAAAAATGAGAAAGCAGACGCGAATTTTTCAAACAGTTGAGGATTAGTAATATAAAAACGGCGATAAAGTAATATTAACCACCGAAAAACACCATGCGAATTTTAGGAAATAAGAAACATATAGAACATATATTAGGAAAAGATGCACCCCGAACAGCGATATTTTGGTAGCACTCATAAAAGCTTTCCTCGTTCGTGAAAAGCCGTTAGTCTCATGCGGTGGGGGGGAGGGGGGTGCCTCAATGATGGGTAGCTCAGAGTTGGAGCTAATCTCATCAGTTTAAGCTTCACTCAGTTGTTATGTTGTGTTATTTTCTTGGACAGACGTTGATTATCTCATTTGTTGAGCTCGTTGAAAGACATAGGCGCTGTCCACTATTCTTTCAGCAGTATCAAAATATATGTGAACTTGATTCTTTGTTGTCACAGGGGTCACAGAGTGCGGTATCGGCAATCTCCATGCGGAAAGCGTAGGACAGGTGGCTACACTTTCGAGCATAGGTATATGTATATGCGCTTTTCACCAAGAAAGAAAAGACGGAACGCAGCTAAATATACATGCAAAAAATGCAGATAGAATCGTACAAGTTCACGAAATTTTGAAACGCGTTAAAAGTGCAGGTTTTTCCTGCTCTTTTGAGCAACTAAAAAGACTTAATCAGGATGGTAAAATATGTTGTATTAATGACGGTTTGTTGTTTCCTCTGACAGCTTCAGTCTCTGGAACTTTCTATAAGCTTCGATCTACATACGTCTTAAAAGACGGGAGTGACTGCTCAATGCACTATGTATGGCTCCGGGTACCGAGAGAACAGTTTTTCAGACAGGCTGACGTGCCTCGTCGGAGACCACAGCAAAACCAACGAACCGGGTGAAAAGTACACATCGTGGTGGCGTTGATCATACCGACGCCATTGGTTTTCTTGGGAGAACAGAAAGCGAGCACGAGCAGCTTCGCGGGTGTGGGCGGCCTGGCTGATGGCGTCCAGGCCATATTCTGTTGTTAGAGCTGCTGCCAACAGAATGGCCGCATCGAGGAGCAATGTGTGTTCGTGGTCGAACAACAGGAAAAATAGGGAGTAACCATTTGTGTCAAGGCGCGAATAATTGTACGAAAATGTCACGTATGGTAGAGCGAGGTCC